AGATCTCTCTTGGTACTTGGACAAACCAACACACCACTTAGTGAAATGTGGAGCTAAGAGTCTTAGATACGTATCTGGAACTAAGAGTTACGGCCCACTACACACTGGTGATACCTCTCCCGGACTTGATGCATACTGCGATGCGGACTGGGCTGGTTACAGGTCTACAAGGTAAAGCACCAGTGGTGCTTTCATCATTTTCGGTGGAGCTGCAGTAATCTGGTCTTCACGCCGGAAAATCTGTGTGACTCTTTGCACTATGGAAAGTGAAGTAGCCGTATGCATTGAAATGGCCAAATCATGCTTGTGGCTGACAAGACTTCTGGAAGAAGTCGGCATTTCCATCGTTCCTGTTTCGCGTGTAGACAATACAGGCTGCATCCAATTGCTCACCGAAGCCCAGGTGACCAAGCGCTCAAAACATGTTGAAGCCAGTCTCTTTTGGATTGAAAGAGAAAATAAGACGGACATTGTCCCACTGACTCTAATATCTCTGACCTGGGCACTCAAAGTCCTACCAGAAACTAGGTTTGTCTCTTTACGGAATATTGCAGGGATAGTAAATCACGATGCAAATGCAGATCGTGATCCTCCTTCTGGCATTCGGAGCAGGGACGTACTTCGAGTACGCCGCTAAACTAACTGCCTCCCAAGGTGAACCTGCTGCCAGATGCCATGCACCATCAGAGAAATTGAACCGAACTACTTCCCGGTAGACTGCTACCTTTTCGGCCCAAGAATGCTCAGGAAAGGCATTACCGAAGATAGCATGTCTGTTGTCAAACGGAACGGTATTGGGAGGAGTCGCAATTTGGATTCTGTATTACAATTATGCGAATCACACTTCCCCAAGTCCGGAGTTTCGGACAGCCCCGATTCACAATATCATGACACAAGATACTTGATCAACCTACTTATCCTTTTCTTTTGTCTTCATAATGAATTTCCGATCTTGTGTGATATGAATTTATCAGACGAAGACAAGAAGATTAAAATTAGGACATACCACTCGGTACTTAACATATTCGCCAGGGAGGATGATCATCTCATCTCCGGCATACTGACGAATATTCACTTCCATTTCTGGAGCGATCCTGACAGATCTGCGTATTAGAACGCATTCCCTATCCGAGTCAGATCAACGGATGTGGTTTTGATTAGAATGGGTACAACGAAATCTAGACCAAGAAAGATGAACTCATATCACTGAAACTTCAGTAGTAGCTTTAATCTCGGTGGTCACCTCTGGAACAACTGTGCTTGATGACCCAATCGACCCAGTATGAGGAGTGACAACTTTGACCAGACTCGAAGTAACCTTCGTAGTCATCATGCTACTTGAAGCGGTGAT